CACTCCACAAGGAGGAATACATACCACACACTGCTTGGGGAATCAAGAACCAGAGACCAGATAACTCAAAGTCCTAGGATAAAACCAAACACTATTGTTCTAAATAATTTTTTTTAAATCAGTAAAATGATTCATAATGGTATTCTGCTAGACTCATATAGAAGTGCTCTATTCAGTCATCATCAGAGAGGATACCTCCAGCAGCAGATGAGAAGAGGTGCAGAGACCCACAGCCAGACATTATGTGGAAAGTATCTAAATTGGAGATCTCCATCAAGTTCCTCCACTCAGAGCTCAGGCAATCCTGCAGAAGAGAAGGCAGAAAGATTGAAGGAGCCAGAGAAAATGGAGGACATCAGAAGAACTATGCCCTCTGGACCAACTAAGTAAGGCACATACGAGCTCACAGAGACTGAAGCAGCAAGCACAAGGTCTACATGGATCTGCACCAGGTCCTCTACATATATACTATAGCTATTGGTCTAGTGTTTTTATTGGCTCCTGGTTGAGAACCAATGGGTCTCTGACTCTTGTGCCTGCTCTTGCATCTCTTTTCCTCCTGTTGGGTTATCATGTCCAACTTTGATATGAGATTTTTTTGCTCCATCTTACTATATTTTATTTTGTCATGCTTGGTTGTTATCTCTTAGAAGCCTGTTCCTTTCTAATAAGAGACAGAAAGTGAATGCTTCCAAAGGAGAGGGAAGGCAGGGAGTAACTTGGAGGAGTAGGGGCAGAGGAACTATAATCAGGATATATTGTATGAGAAAAAATCAATTTTCAATTAAAGGGGAAAAAATAAAAAAGAGGAGGAGGAAAGAAGAAGGAGGAGGAGGAAGAGAAGGAGGAGAAGCAGAAGCAAAAGAGGCAAAGGCAGAGACAGGAGGAGGAGGAGGAGGAGGAGGAGGAGGAGGAGGAGGAGGAGGAGGAGGAAGAGGCCATGAAAGCATAGGACACTGGAAATGATGCAAAAAGAAGGCCAAGTAGGGCTGATGCTTATTGTAGGTGTGGAAGAGTAGAAACAGATCATACTTAGTAGTGTCATTTGTGAAAATCATAGTTTCCCTTGACAATATTCTTGAGAACTGCAAAGTAGCTACAGCAAGGGGATGCATAACCCTATCCATGCTTTCTTTTTTTAGAGGAGTTCAGCCTTTTAATATATGTGTGTGTGTGTGTGTGTGTGTGTGTGTGTGTGTGTATTTTATATGTGCATATGTATATAATGTGTATATATTATATAGGTGTATATGATATATATCATAATGTTTATATATATAGTGTGTGTGTGTGTGTGTGTGTGTGTGTGTGTGTGTGTGTGTGTGTGTAGGATTCTCAGGAGTCAATTTTTTTCCTCCACCTTTATGTGGATTCCAGGGATCAAAGTCAGGTCATCAGAATCCTGTAGCAAGGTAGCAAGCACTTTTGCTCACCCAGACATCTCACTAGCCCAATATATATTTTTTCAAAGTATCATTGCACTGTGGAAAGACAGAAAGATAGATACAAGTACAGAAGGTATTTGTGGTATGAGCTAGAATTGAGGGACTCTCAAGATAGACAGGCATGATTCAGAGAACTTCAGGTTGTTTAGTGATTATGGCTTCATTACTGCAAAATATCAGGGTGAGGGTGACTGGAAGAATTAACTACAATCCCCATATCTGTGACTGAAGAGATAATGTACATAACAGAATCATCCTGAGACTGTGACATATGGGTGGAACAGTGCTGGACTGAAGATATAATTCTTTATGTATATGATGTATACTGTGTTTTTTTAGATGATAAAATCAATGGAATTAGAATAATGTGCCAAGTATCACACACGCACACACACACACACACACACACACACACACACACACACACACACACACACACATACACACATCCAAGCAGCCTGTTCTAGAGTACAAGGTCTTAACCACAATGAGCTGTGTCTCATGAGCATCAGTTCAACTGTGAAAGCATCATTGCTTGTAATCTCTTTAGATAATAAAGTAGAGATGATGAAGAAAAATGTGTTAAAGACTCTTAATTTTTATAGGCATCCACTTTCTACTTAGCTTATGTCAATGAAGTGGGTATTTGGAAATGTGAACAGGACTATGCAACTGGAAACACAGCATGTACAGGGAAAACTAACACTATAGACCACATCTTTGGTGTAGATGACTGACCCTCAAAAGATTTAAAGGAGCGAACCTATGTGGGAACCTATGTTGACCAGAACAATGTAATATCAAATGTGAGAGCAGGTGCGATGTTATCAGTGTGATATTAGAATATGAAGTCAATGAGTGTGACATCAAGAGAGTCAACAAAAGAGAGTTTTCCCAAAGAAGGTTGTGATGTTTCCCTCAGAACTAAACACCACTATGGATCACCAGGTCAACTAAAGAAGGATTGAAAGAATAAAAGACATTGAGAAAAACATCCTTTAGATATGGCCAATTGTTTTATCTATTCTTATGAGCAAGACCCCACTGGACTAAAAGGAATTTAAAGTATATGTATATGCTCCCTGTTGTGTAGACACAAGAAGACACTAGTTTTTAACTTCAACATGCTTTTAGAAGAGAGGGTAAGAAGTAGCACATATAGCAGAGCCCATTGCTAACTACATTATAAAATACTTTCTAAGGTACAAGAGCTGATTTTCTAGTTCATTAAAATTGAAGACAACAAATAAGATGCAAGAAACTGAAAAGTAGTTAGAGAGAGCTTGGTCAGTTAAGCATTTTCTGTGCAAGCATGAGGCCCTGAACCCATGTAAAATTCCCATGTGAAAATAGCAGATATGGTAATGCATGCTTGCAACCTCAAGGTTAGGGAGGCAAGGTTAGGAGGAACCCCTAGGCCTGCCAGGATAGCTAAATTAGTGAGTTCCAAGCCACTAAGAAACCTAGTATCAAAATACAAGGCAAATGAGTTCTGAGGAACAATACCAGAGGCTGACCTCTGACCTCTACATTCATGCACACTTATGCACACACATACACATAAACACTCATATGTATGAACACAACATACAAACACATGCACACACACAGAGTGAGAAGCGTTTTTTCAGCTCAGGTAAATGACCAGAACTCTTTAGAATTTTCTTTGGCTTGCTGAGAGTTCATTCTGAAATGAATCCTATCACAAAGCATCAATTATCCTTTCAGAGCATCATTCAGTATTGGAGGACAGCCACAGATCACTGGATATTTGAGGAAAGCCTCTATTCTGGGAGAAGAGGACCAAAGGAAACATAGTGGAACTCAGGAGCTACACAAGGACCAGGGAGGGAAAGATAAATCTATAGTTAACATCCTCTGAGAGAAATGAAGAATGCATGGGCCCTTGACACACAAACAGGGAGCTGTAAAAGCAGAACATTCAGGATTCAGCATACAATTCTCATGACGTATAAAATACACTATCAGATTTAAGGCAAGTCACTACATGCAGTTAGAAAATAAACTTGAGAAAATTACCTGGAAAAAAAATCAAAGTACAATGGCATGGAAATTACTAGAGAATAAACAATTGACTTGTAGGCTATAACTAAGAAATTGTCCTGTCATCCAGTTAGTGAGGAATTGCAGGAAAAAGAATGTTTTTAATGAAGGGGAAGAAAGCGTCCATTAAATAAAACCTTCAACAGAACTACAAGAAGGTAAAACCTGTCAAAATCAAGCACAATGTAAGGAAACTCAAAGCACATTGTCACAAATGTTTAAAGCCAGAGATAAAGTTTTAAAACTTTCTACTGAAGAAGTTGAGTGTGAAATGGGACTTTAAATAGGAATGGAATTGGGCTTTCTTACAAGCTACTGAAAACGTGCCTCCATATTTATGAAGAAAAATTATTTCTGACCTAGAAATATATATCCAAATGAACTTTTCAATCCTGTGTGGGTAAAATAAGCCATCTTCAGACTTCAAGATCTCAAAAAAATGTACCTACTATACATCCTTTCTCAGCAAGTAAATGGAAGCTATCTTCTACCAAACAAGGGGAATAAAATCTTGGAAGATGACATACAACCTAGAAAATAGAAGCTGTAACACAGGAAGGAAGTGTAGACATCACAGGGTGATGGTGAGGAGAAGCTTGCATGGGTCTGTAGAAGAAAAGCTCCAGAAAAGAGCAGGGAGACAATGGTCTCATAGTACTGATGAACAGTGGGGAATACACCTCTGTGGCCACATGCAGAAGAAACTGAACCAGTGAAGGATACATAGAAAAACCTGCAAAAGATACACCAATGCAGAGGCTGGGAAGATGTTTCATTAAGAGCTCTTGGTGCCCAATCAGGAAGGCTGAAATTCTGATCCCAAAGCTTATTTACTAAGCCAATCCCAGGCCTATCTGTTACCCCATCTCTGAGTGGAGCAGAGACAGGATTATTGGGGCTTTCTGGCTTCCAGTCTAGAGGAGAAAATGCAAACCCCAGGTCCCAGGAGAGTCTCCACCTCAAAGGTATAGAGAAAGAGAGATTGAAGAGAGCACCAGATGCCCTCTTCCAGCTTGTATGTATTTACACAGGTGTACACACACATACATATGTCCATGCAACAATGCAATTTTTAACTCCCCCCAAAAAACACAAAAATATCCTCCACACCATGACTTCTCTAATTCTTCCTGCTAGCCACAGTCTATTATCTTTACCTTTATAACTGCAAAGTATATAATGAGAGTGTGGAACATTGGTGGGCCCCAATAAAGTCCTTTATAGAATTCATCTATGGGTCAAAAATGGTACAATAAACTCTGGGGTGAAATTTGACTACTTTTACAGAAATGGGGTACTCTTCCAAAAGGTTCTGTGGAAGTCATCCTGGGCCTGATTCCACTTTGTGGGGCAGTTAAAGGGCTCAAGGGTGTGATGCTTGTATGTCCTGTATAGATCATATGCACCAATGCATTGTAGTCAGCCTTTTTGACTGAGGATGCAGCCTTCCTTGAGTGTCAGGGCTAAACAACCATGTGTGTTCTCTCCCAGTGCAGTGCCTGGAGATGACCACCAAACGGAAACTCATTGGCCGCCTGGTGCCATGCCGCTGCTTCCGCGGCGAGGAAGAGATCATCTCAGTGTTGGATTACTCCCACTGCAGCCTGCAACAGGTGCCCAAGGAGGTCTTCAACTTTGAACGCACGCTAGAGGAGCTCTATCTGGATGCCAATCAGATTGAGGAGCTGCCCAAGGTGAGTTCTGACAAACCGAAGACACATTGTCAATGTGAAGTTCCTAATGCCAAGACTTGGCATGGAGATAGTTAGCCTTTTCCTTCAATCCAGACAACTGACACACTGTGGCCTTCTGCCAGTAACTGACACATCAGAGACTCTCACAAAACAAACTTCCATCACAGCCTTCCATCCAGGTAACTTACGTAGCATAGCCGTCCATCACAGTATTTGGCACGGCTGCATCCCATCCAGATAACACAGCAGGGCCTTCCATTGTAGATGAATGGTCTTGTTAAATAAGAAACACAGAGCCAATGCAGAGATGAAATACCAAGAGGTCAGAGCTAAAAACCTTACCCTTCACTGCTGCTGTTGTCCTCTTCATCAAGAGACCTACCTGTCTGTTTGTCTTTTTTATTGACTTTCTAGTCTGCCTTCTCATTGGTTGTAAACCCAACCACATGACCTCCTTGTCACTGCCTGTCTATACAGACCTCCAGGTCTTCTATGGTTGGTATTGAGATTAAAGGCGTGTGTCTCCATGCTGGTTTTATCCTTGAACACACAGAGATCTGCCTAGCTCTGCCTCCCAAGTGCTGGGATTAAAGGCGTGCACCACCACTGCCCAGTTTCTGCTATGGCTTGCTATTGGCTCTGACACCCGGGCAACTTTATTTATTAACATACAAACAAAATCACATTTCAGTACAATTTAAATACCACCATATTCCATCTTGTTAACTAACAGCCTGGGCTACAGAGTGAGTTCTTCTAGTCTATAAAGTGAAATTCTGCAGTTCCCTGCTCATATTTTTATACACACATACATATATACACACAAATACACACATGAGAGTTTATGTTTAGAAAAGAGAGGGAAATAAGAAATATGACAATTTAAAAACAAATTTATGGTATATGTTAAAATTACTTTATTTTTAAACCTTAAACTATTCATTTTAAGTCTAACATATTTTACAAATAATATATTATAATGACAAACATGATAAAGAGACTGCAGGTGTAGAATACATTATTAGTGGAGTTCTTATTTAGCATGGGCAGAAAAGAAAAAACATTCAGTTTGTGTGTTTACATGTAAAAATATTTAAATTAAAACTTTAAGTATCAAATTTTATATATGCACACTGTCATCATAAGGAAAATCAGGTCTCATGTGACTTTGTTCTCTGTTAAATGATAAGGAAGTGACTAATGCAAACCAAAGCCACACCTCAGGGAAGTTCAAAGTCAGTGACAACTAACAATTCCCTAAGTAAATCACTAGCTTGAACAGACAACTTGACATTTACTTGTCAAGTACTTATACAGTTGAAAGTGCATTCCATATGCAAAAAAAGTTTATGAAATATTTCAATGTGCTAATCCAAGCAAATTGTTAAAAGTTATTTTTACTTGAGATTATGAATTGTGATGTTTATAAAATGTTTCAAAACTAGAAAGTATTTCATGTTTAACAATGTAAATTATAAATATGTAATCCTGAGTCTTTGCTCAGAAGACCTGAGTCAATCCTAGCAAAAGTTGTTGATCACATGGGTTATGCAACCAGGAAAATGCCCAGGTTGCAGCTCAGAAAAAGGCTGCATGGAGTCAGGCTCTCTCTATCACTGAATGTCAACCCCTGGAAGGCAGAGTGACACCTGTTCACCTGTGTCCAGTGAAGACATACATGGTGTCTTTTACATTGGACACTCAGTCTATTTGGCAATGGCTGCTGAGCCACTCACAGACTGTCATGTACTGGAGGACTTGATTAGTAAAACCACAAAAGTTTAAACAAATTATAGCTGGACAGCAGTGGTGCACGCCTTTAATCCCAGCACTCAGGAGGAAGAAGCAGGCGGATCTCTGTGAGTTCAAGTCCAGCCTGGTCTACAGAGCAAGATCCAGGACAGGCACCAAAACTACACAGAGAAACCCTGTCTCAAAAAAAAATTATAAATATGGTGAACAAGGTTTTGGCTACTGTTGTTTGTTTTAGGTCAGACCAATATAGGACTGGCAGATATACTAGAGGCTGAGTTAAATTTAAATTCTAAATTTAAAAAAAAGTAAGAATTTAATGATTATATCACAAATATCACAATGGATATATTTATGCTAAAAGAGAGTTTTAATTTATATTTACCCTAGAATAATCTTTCTTTACCTTCTAAAGCTAGCAACTCTAGGTCAATCTCATCTTAAAATATTTTTCCAGATCTACAAAAAAAAATAGTTTAAGACAACCAGTGAAAGTAAACCATATGGCGATTTAATGAAGCAACTACTTATTTAATATACATTCTCTGCTACATAGTACTTGAGTCTTTAGGAAGAAGTCAGTCTCTGCTCCTGAGTATCTGTCAGCCTAATTACAGGAAGAAATAAAAGAAATATTAGAGACAGATGTGCAATAATGCATCACAGAAGCCAAAAACCGCTATAGTGCTTATGCACAGAACAGTTCCCTTCTTAAGGAGGTAAAGGAAGGACTTATACAAACATGGATGAGCAATCAAGACAGCATTATCATAGAGAAGGGAACTCTGGAGCAGTAAGGGTGCTGTGAGTCAAGAATGGAGGGAGAGAAGACAGGAAAGATCAGAGAGTGGCAGCTGTCCCAAGTTACAACACAGCATTAGTGAAATGTAAGCATCAGCAAAATAAAACCATTCAGGAATTATGCATTATTTGATTCACTAGGACCCTAGGTTGGCTTGGAAGTGAAATCTAAGATAGTTTGTTTATTCTGTTAATTAAAACAATCAGTTAGCAATAAATAAAAGTAATGTAAATGCACCAGACACACAATATATTTCCTGTGTACTTAAACAGAAAAGAAACCAGTAATTGTCTCTTATTCTCTATATATTTCAAGCCTCTTATGTAATCACTTAAGATCTGTAAAAGAGAACTCTCTCTGAACAATTTGTTACTCCCACAGAGCAGCCTCATTGGTCTCATCTGAAGTATATAATGACCTGAATTGTTTGACTGTGGTGGTATTGTGTTCCCCAAAATATTGTGTACCCTAATAAACTTAAATGGGATCAGAGACAGAACAGCCACTAGATACAAAAACTAGAAAATGGTGGCACTCACACCTTTAATCCTAGCATTCCAGAAGTAGAAATCCATGTGTTCAAGGATACAGCCAAGCGTGGTGACTCACACCTTTAATCCCAGAAAGCGAGCCTTTAATACCAGGGAGTGGTAGTAGAAAACAGAAAGATATATAAGGTGTGAAGACCAGAAACTAGAAGCATTTGGCTTGTTAAGCTTTCAGGCTTTTGAGCAACACAGTTCAGCTGAGACCCATTCTGGATGAGGACTCAGAGGCCTCCACTCTGAGGAAACAAGACCAGCTGAGGATCCAGTGAGGTGAGGTAGCTGTGGCTTGTTCTGGTTCTCTTATCTTCCAGCTCACCCCAATATCTGGCTCAGGTTTCATTTTATTAATAAGAACTTTTAAGATTCATGCTACATTTGACATTTGAGATATGATCATAACAGTACAAAAACATATTTGTAAATTATCAGAAACAGTAGAAAAATAAGAAACAAAACCCCAAAGAATGATAATGTCTCTTTCCTGTAATGAAGCCATCCAAAATGGCTCTTAAAAGATGTTATATAACAGAAAGAGAACAATGAGTTGAGGTTGACAGTATTTGCAAAGATATGTCAAGAGTTATGAGAAAAGAAGCAAAAATAGATTTGAAAGAACAGGAAGATTCTAATTTGAATAGTTCCCTCTGTGGTGCTTAGTTTCTATAGTAAAAGGTAAACATGTAAAAGCCATGCCTTTCCCACAGGGACAGAAGTCATGCTGTTTATAATTTAATACTGCTTTGCTTTCACATTTTAACTAAGAGGTAAAGATATAGACAGAATAATAAACAGGCATATATTAGATTAAAATAGTGTATGAAGACGTACATGAATAAGATAGCACAGTGAAAATAAAGCGACTTCTTGGCATTTAAAAATCTCTGTAAAAAAGAATAAAAACTGTATAAAGAAAGCCATTGTGTGACCAAAATTATAATAAAAGGGGAAGTTAGTGAATTATATCAAGTTGACCATATCTAAAATAGAATAGATCTAAATTTGAAATACTTTACTATGAAAGTTTCTGAATATTTTAGAGATTGAGAGCTTATATTTTGGACCCAGATTAGATCCATTTGGTTTGGAAGGTATTCCCTTTCCAGAAGCCTCAGTTTTTCCATCAGGATAATAGTAGCATCTCTTATACATAAAGTAAGAAGTGGGGGCAGAGTGAAGGATGAGTTCCATTTCCTGAGTGATAATGTATGTGTGAGAGACCTAGAAATAAAAAATCAAAAGCAGATATTACTCCAGCCAGAGCTGAAGTATCTACGATTCCCTTAAAAAAAGTATGCTGATTCACACTAAAGATAGATTTGGTGGCATCCTGGGAAAGTTCTAAGAAGTGACTATGCACCACCAAAAATAACAAAAGCCATGCAAACATGCATCCAATAACTGACTCTGTATATCTCTGTGAACCTCTCTACAGCTAGAATGGCCTCTCTGAAGTCATGGAGCTTCATTTAGGGTTTTGTATCTTCATAATCAATTACAGTTTTATTCATCCACCCACCACAAGAAAAGGAAAAGCTAATACTGAGTTGAAACAAAAAAATAACTTTTATATCCTCTTTAATGACTAATATGTCCTTTTGCCTGTGTATGATGGAGAGCACTGGTTTGCATTTTACCTCTCGGTTTGAGTTGTCATCTCACTTATTATACTTCCATGTCCACCTATTTCTAGAACTTTTTGTCATTTAATTTTTCTTTACAGCTGATTCACCTTCTGATTTGTATATGTACCACATTCTCATTATCCATTCATTTGTAGATTAACATCTAGGTTGTTCTATTCCCTTGTTATCATGAATGGAGCAGCAATAAATGTAGATGTGCAAGCATCTCTGTAGTAAGATATGGAGTTCTCTAGCTACATCTATGAGTGGAATAGC